CGGGCTGGTGTGTTCACGTCTGTGCGTCGGATCTCGGGTAAGGTGGAATGGTTCCGCCCTTCGGGTAACCAGGGCAAGCCGCGAATCCTAACCCAGATCCGGCCAGGATGGGAGGGTTCGGGGCAGTGTTCTTACTTCCTGCTTGGCCCTCGAATCGTGGACCCCCAGTTTCACATAAAAGTACAACCAGTGAATCTTGAAAGGGATGTGGGTGGGAGGCGGACTTGGGACCCCAGAATATCAGAACTGGAACTGACCTCGGGACTGTCTGACCTACAGTTCAAATGAGACCTGAGTCGCAGGGCTTTGCTCAGAGCCACTCACTCATTCCCATTCAGGGCTTACCTCCTTCCCGCCCCCTTCCCCTGTCGTCCCAGCTTCAGATTAGATGGATAGAGTTCTCTAAGGGAAGAGCTTTTGCTCGGCTGACTCAGTGCTGCCCTCCTTTGCTCTTAGGCCTCAGGCACCCTCCCCTGGCTATGGTTCCTGGACTTTTCAAGGCTTTAGGTGAGGGATATACACACATTTGCTCCCAACGAGTGAGAGTTCCAGAAAGGCAAGTTTCAGCTCAATATCAGGCCCTTTCCAGTGAGCTACATCTGTCCACAGGTGACATGGGTTGTTCAAGGCTGGCAGGAGTGATGTAGGGTGACTGTACCAGGTGACTTCTGAGCTCCTTCCAAACCTAATAGTCAATGATTTAATGGAACTCACCTACCAAGGAAGGGTCTTCCAGAGGGTCAGGACTTCTCTGGTCCCCGGCAAGTGGGAGCAGCTGATGGCCTTCCCTCTGCAGTTTCCATTGCCCAACTTACACCAGGCCTCACTGGGGGGGTGTAGGACAAGTAGGTCACATCTTAAATCCCCAGGTACCATCAAATACCTGTCCCCTCACGGTCCCTCCTTCATGAGGACAGGTGAGGTTGTGATGTGTATCAGCCTGTGTGCCTTAATAGTGCTCATGCGTGCCTGGTTCTTCTGTTCCTACACACACATACACAAAACCTTTTTATATAACACCATATTAGTGGAAATGCTGTTTTTCCAAGATGAAAGCTGTTACAGAAGATCTGAATGGTGCTTATGTAACTTTAAAACTGAGTTTGGGTACATCTTAATTCATTAACGGAAGGGGAAAGGGAGGAGTTCTTTTTTCTTTTTTTTAAGATTGTTTGAGAGTGAGAGAGAGAAGGAGCACACGAGCAGGGTGAGGAGCAGAGGGAGAGGAACAAGCAGACTCTGTGCCGAGTTTGGAGCCTGACACAGGGGCTCTGTCTCACGACCCTGAGATCATGACCTGAGCCAAGATCAAGAGTGGAACACTTAATGGGACACTTCACCAACAGGAGCCACCCAGGCGCCCCAGGGAAGCATTCTTACGTATTTATCTCCCCTCATTAGTAAAAGATCACTAAACCAATAGAATTCTTAAAGATAAATCTTCAGTAGTCAGGGTGTGGGGGCCCCTTTTTGGGCCCTGCCCCCTGCCCCTTTGCAAGGTAGTTGGGTTGGGATGGCAGGAGGAAGAGTGCAGGCAGGAGCTGAGAACTGAGGATTGAGAGACACCTGCTACCCCCAATTCTGTAGTGGTGGGCAGGACATTCCACCTCTTTAGGCTTCTGTTTCCTCATCCGTGGAGACAGTCCCTCCCCCACTTATAGTTTACAAAATACTTTCACATACCCTCTCTATCTCATTTAATCTCTCATTTCCTTGAGGCTGACAGAGCAATTTTGTGCCCATTTTGTCAATGAGGAAACGGTCTGGAAAGGTTAATTGACTTACCTAAGGTCTCTCACAAGCTTATTAAGAGGAGGAAGCAGGACTAGAATTTGTCTTTAGACTTTCAAGACTAGAATTCTTGAACCTTTACCATAGTTCCTTTCCTATGTATAGAATGGAGGAAATACTAGAACCTAGTCACTATCTTTTCTTGCTAAGAACGCTAATTGCATCACCTCCTCTGGGAAGCCCTCCCAGATACCCAGTCTCACATTAGGGCTTTAAAGCCTCCTACACACTCTCTTAAAGCACTTAACATTTTGCCCTGCAACTGACAGTTTGCTTATCAGCTTCCCAACCAGAAGATGGATTGAGATTATTGAGACTAATGAATTATGTATTATTTATTAGTGTGTCTCTTGTACCTAGCGTGTTGCCTGCCACAGGGCAGGCAGCCTTATGTGTTTGCTGTATGAGTCTTGACTCTGTGTCGTAACCAGTGCTCTTTTGTCCTGGAGTTCAGAGCCCCACAGCAAGAAACACATTTTATATTGTAAGATAACTAAAACAAGTTTCCTGGGACAGTATTTACCCTTGCTATGTACATGCACTCTGATATTTTCTTTTTTGAGTACAAGCTTTTTTTTTTTTTGAGATTTATTTATTCAAGGGAGAGAAAGAGAGAGGGAGGGCGTGCATGTGTGTGTGGGTGAGGGGTGGGGAGCGGGGGCAGAGGAGAGACCCTCCAGGCGGACTCCCCGCTGAGCACGGAGCCCATCTCCAGGCTCCATCCCACAACCCATGAGATCATGACCTGAGCCAAAAAACCAAGAGTCGGACTTAATGGACTGAGCCACCCAGGCGCCCCCTGATATTTCTGTTTTCTATCTTGTATTTCATGTTTTCAAGGTGCTGGCCATGACCCCCCAATTGATTTCATGACCCACTACCAGGTAGTGACTTATAGTTGGAACAACTATATCTCCTGTCTGTTGTAGAGGCCTTCTCTGTATTGGGTCTAGCTGTCCCTAAAAGATGCAGGAGATGGCACTCAAGTCCCCATTGTTCTGAGGTCAAAGCAAGGTTTATGTATAAGAAAATAGACAGAAACCCTTCCAAGACTAGAGAGAGGCACAAGGGCGCAAATAGATCTCAGGGTGGGGGCCACAGATGAGGGAAGGTCCCCGAGAAACCTGGTGGGAATCTTTGTGCCTCCAGAAATTAAAAGGCAGTGTCAGAGTTACTGGAGCCTGGAACCCCCAAACACAGGTAGGCCATGGGCCTCTTCCTGCTCGGCTCCCAGATTAGAGGTCTCCACCTGAGAAAGCTCTCGGTTACGCGGGTGGTGGAAGCGGGAGGTAGGTGGACATTCCCACTTCTGCCTAAAACAGCCTCTTCAATAACCTCCTGCCTCTAGGCCCGGGGCCAGGTGCTGGCTGTGTGACTGGGTAGGCTGTTTAATTAGGTTTAGGGTGACAGTTGAAGCCAGGGCTCTTTGGGCCTGACAGCTCTCCCAAGAGAAAGCTCACCTACCTGCTTCATCCCTTTGCCTCACCCTTACCTCACCTGGAGCGTTGGTGAGGGGCAGTAGGAAAACAGAAGCACACCCCGCCCCCCACTACCACCGAGTGCCAGAACCCTGGGGCCGTGAGGGTGGGGCTCAAAGGAGCGGCTGTCCCTGTCTGTCTGTTGTAGCTGCTGGAGTGGGACCCGGTGTTCCTAAGCCAAGCTTTGGGAAAGGGAAACAGAGCTGGAGGGGCTTCCTCCCAGGGAGGTGCATGCTGCTCCAGAACCCTGCCCCTTTCACCACAGAAAATAAACATAGGGTTGGGCCAAGGGACACCTTTTGTGACCTTCTGATGTCACTGAAATGTTCCATTTAAAAAAAAGTGTTTATTTTTATTACAAACGGAACACATCCATTTTCTTGGTTTCTCTGATTGTCCCTGCAGAGTCTCAGTTCCGTTTTGTATTATAACTGGGAAGGTGGGGTCTAAGCGCCAGGGTTCCAGAGCCCTGTGCCCTCCTGTCACAAGGCTTGCTCACTCCTGTCCTGGCTGCTCAGAGCAAGGTCCTGAGGGGGCGGTGGGTTGGGTCGGGTCGGGTTGAGGGGACAGGGGAGTGAACAGTTGGTGGGGGTGCCAGATCCTGGGGGCTGGGGAAGAGCTAATGGGAGTGGGTATAGCTTCTCTGTAGAGTAGCCTGGGACACCTCACTGGGGCCTCAGACTGGGGGAGATTCATTCTGCAAGGTGCAGGCATGCTGATCATCCCAACTGTACTGCTCAGTTACTTAACCTTTTGACTACCTTCCTCATATTAAAATGGGGATAACACTAGTACCTACTTTATAGGTTATTGTGAGAATTAAATGAGATAATATGTGAAGCGTTAGTGCCTGGAACACTGGGAGTGTTTAGGAAATACCACTCTCACCAGCATCAGCCTTCCCTCCAGACCTGTTCCTTCTGCATCTGCCCAGTTCCCCAAGCTAGAAACCTGAGGTCACCCAAGACTCTTCCTCCTCATGTCCACCCCCAATCAGTCCTGCAGACTAGGGCCTCTTCCCCTTCCAAGTACTATTAGTCAGGCCTTGTCCTCCTTTACATTCCTGGCTGCTACCTCAAGGGAGGCTGGCAAGAGGCTCCTAACCAACCTCTTTCCTTCTCTAGGTCCCCAATTCAAATCCTAGCTCTCCTAGAAGATGCAGATCTCATCCTGTCTATGTGGAACTTTCAGGATGGAGCTCAGATGCCTAGCTGGGCACAGATGGTCTCCAAGACCTGGCTCCTGTTGGCTTACCTACCCCATCTCCTACACCTTCCACACACCCACCCATGCTTCTGTCCAGAGAAACCAAGCACCTGTGATTCTTTGACACCCTTTGCGTCCGTGCTTTTGCACATGCAGTTCTTTCTGCTTGGATGCCTTGCTTCCTCTCCGTGGCTGACTCCTCCCCCTATCGAATACATTTCAATTGCCACTTCTTCCTCAAATCCTCCCAGGTCTGTCTGAGATGCTTCTCGGTGCTCCTATTTTCATTCTGATTGTTCTGGACTGCCCCCCCCCCCATAAGTGGGCAGGTACCATCTTTTTTTCTCCGCACTCCTGATGCCTCTCACTGAGCCTGGCACATAGTAGGCTCTGTTGGAAGCCAGTCCCAGTAGGCATCTTCCTCCTTGCTGTACTCCTGGGGCACTGAGCCAGGGAGGCTGGGAGGCAGGATGCCAGCATCGTAGGCACTTTTTCTACCACTCAGGAAGTGGGAGTCCTGGACCCAGAGTGGAGCCTGGGAGCCCAACCGACAGCACAGACACCGGAGCCTGGGACTTGGGAGTCCTGTCTGCCTGGAGCTTTGGAAACTAGACTGAGGCCAATGGAGGCTTGGTGAAACCAACAGACACAGTTCGCCCAGGCATTCAAAGGGCTCGTTGGGTAGATGAACCTGCAGCAGGGCAGACCCTAGACCTCCCCATCCCACGGTCAGTGTGCGAGAGTGTAAGATAAAGACAAATGGTGCTATTTGGGGTGGGTGCTGCGACTCCCACCCCCCTCAATCCAGGTTCCTCCCGTGCACAGCCTCGCCCCTCTTCCCCATCACTTAGTCCTAGGTGGCCACGTGACCTGCGCCCCCAGCAGCCACTAATCGCCCGGCTCCAGCCCTTCTCCTAAATAGGGAAGCGACTGGAGCAGATCGAGTTTCTGGGCCGCATTTACAGGTTCCTTAGACGAAGCCAAACCTCCTCCATCCCTTGCTTCCCCCCCCTTTCCGCCCCCCAAAGCCAACGACTGGCGCCGTGGGAAAGGAAAGAAGGGGCCCCTCCGGAGCCCCACCCCCAGCCCTCCAGTCATTCCGGCCCGGGTGAGGCCCCTCCCTCCACCGCTGCTCTGCGGGGCCCCTCTAGGGGCACAGCTTGGGTCGCCACATTCCAAACCCCTGGCGGCCCTTTGAGGTCACGTGGCGCGTGGGGGTGGGGCGGCAGGATGCCCCTGACCCAGGCTGGCGACCTCGAGGCTTTCCAGGGTTGCAGATGCTGGTCCCTTCTCCCTGGACCTAGCGTAGGCCAGATTTGCTTTGGCTTCTGGAACCCTGGGAGTGATGCATGGTGGGTTTTTACCCTCCAGCGCCTACTGTGTGTCTGGCTAATGCTGAGCACTCAGGCTTCTTACCTCCAGCTCTCGCGGCACCCCAGGCCAGGCCACATACCTTTCCTATGGAAGACACTAGCAGGGAGTTGCCAAGGCATGGCAGCTCAGAGGGCTAGAATCTTAGCTCTTGGCCTGCAAAGTGGACAGGGAAGGGGGGAAGACTGGGTAGAGCCAATCTCTTAGTTTAGGACGCTGTCTGTCCCTGTTAGGCAGGCCAAGTCAAGAGCTAACCCTGTTCCCTCTGGTTAGCCTGGGTTCCAGACCTCTGAGAGCTGTACTTTGGGTCTGGGGTTAGGGAAACTAAGGGGATTGCTTTCTCTCTGGGCTGGGCAGATGGTCCCTAAATTGCTTACTGCATTTTGGTGCCAACTCTGATAGTTAGAAAGCCCTACTGGAGCTGACCCTGGTCACACCAAGGGGCCTTGGCTTCTTTTTGGGGCTGAGGGGTGAGTGAGTGGATTGGAAGGTGAGGTACCAGCCATAGCCACCCTGCTTAAGAGGTTTGACCTTGTAGGAAGGAGAGTAGATGGTGGAATGGCGATGGTAGAAGGGAGCCATATTTTGGATGGAGGGAGAGGTCTGCATTTTTTTGTGAATCATTAAATCACTCATTCAAATATTTATTGAGCCCTTACTTAATGTGAGTCATGTATTCTACTATTTGCATAATCATTGACTTGCATAATCATCAACCTGTCCTGGGGCTACGGTGAGTAAGACAGGATTCCTGCCCTCATAGAGCTCATAGTCTTGTGGGAAAGCCAAACACTGGAGGGGCATTCACAGTGCTGAGAGCATCCGTGGGGCAGAGGGGCTGTGGGAAAGAGGAACACTTAGCCCAAATTAGGTGGGAGAGGAGGCTGGCTAAAGACAAAGTGTTAGAGGCCTGAACTATAAACCATCCTTAATCTGTCGGGCTGTGGGGAGAGAAGGAAAGAATGAATAGCCTTCCAGGTAGAAGGCACAGTGCATGCAGAGTCCCAGAGGCACATTCTGGAAACTGCCAGTGAAGGAGGGTTGGCACACAGCCACTCAGTTGCTGGCTGACAAAATAGGAGGAGATGGAGAGAACGCATTTGGGAGAGGAAGAGGGCTGAGCTGATAAATAATGCCACCCGGGAAGGTGCCCCTTGGACTCCACCTAGGGTCCTACAGGAGCGCTGTAGTGGAGAATGTCACAGCTCCTTTTATAGTTGCTCTATAAAATCAATATTTATTTTTATCAAGATACTACATACACAAGGCTTAAAAAATCCGAGAGTTCTGAGGGGCTGTAACAAAAACAGAAGTCCCCTGGCCTTTTTCCCAATTTTTATCCTACTCCCTAAGGACAACCACTTTCAACTGTTTTAGTTGTTTCTTCTGGTATTTCCTTCCTTATTTCTAAATAATCTATGCACTGCCATTCTGGATTCATCCAGCTCATTTGTTGACTTCTTGTTTTGGTAGATGAGGATTTTGATTCTTGCTCCCCTCTTCCCCTGCCCCACCCCCTTGATGTTTAGATCATAATTTATGGTTAAATCCATGTTCAGTGATTTCATTATTGACTTTGAAAATACTGTTTACTTTTGAGGCAAGTATTCTGGTTACATTTCCTCTTCTAATATAACTTTTTGTTGGATGCTCTGTTTACATTTCCTTTCTTGTACAACTTTCTTGTTTTTCCTGGAGTGAATTGCCTGATTTTTTTCTTTGCTTGGTTTTCTTTGAATCTCTGGCTCTGTCTTCCCACACCCTTCAACAGCTCTGTAAAATGCCTTCTCAGTACAATTTTGCATATGGCCAAACCTGTCATATAATCTTACCAGTTCTGTTTTGTTTTTCCTTGGAGACATTTGTCCTGGGGAGCTGCATCCTTCCGTTCTTCTCTGGATGCATTGCTCTCCAGTTGAGGTCTGTAGCGTATCTGTCACCCTCGGACTTCCCATTGCCAGTAGTTAAGAATTCCCTTTGCCCTTTTCCTCTTTCAAGGACTCAGTATCTTTCTCTGTTTACTTCCTTGTTTGGATGAAACACATCCTCCAGTAGCTTCTTGAGAAAGTGCCTGGGAGGTATAACGTTTTAGACACTTTTGCATACCCCAAATGGTTTCATTCCCACTCTCACTTTTGCTTCATAGTTTTGGCTGGGTATAGAATTTTAGGTTGAAAATCATTTTCCTTCAGAATTTTGAAGACATCGCTCCTTTGCCTTGCAGCTTCGAAAATTTTGCAGTAGAGGTTTCATGCTATTTTGATTCCTGAGACTTTGAATTCATCTCCCTCCCCCACCCCGGCTTTTAGGATTTTTCTCTTTTGTCCCTGATGTATTAAAACATCATAATGTATTGGCATGGCCCTTTTTTCCATGGCACTTGATAGGACTCTTTAATCTAACAGTGGTTTTCAAAGTGTAGTCCCCAGATAGCAGCATCAGTATCACCTGTGGGAACATGATAGGTATTGATGCACATCGTGAGCCCCAGCCCACATCTAATGAATAGAAACTCTCCTTAGGTCCCAGCAACCTGTGTTGTTGTTTTTTAAAGATTTTATTTATTTATTTGACAGAGAAAGAGAGAGAAAGCACAAGCAGGGGAGAGGGAGAAGCAGACTCCCTGCTGAGCAGGGAGCCCGATGTGGGGCTCGATCCCAGGACCCCGGGATCATGACCTGAGCTGAAGGCAGACGCTTAACTGACTGAGCCTCCCAGGCGCCCCTGCAACCTGTGTTTTGTTGTTTGTTTTATAGAGAGATAATTGACATACAACATGCTATTTGTTGCAGGTGTACAACATAATGATTTGATATTTGTACATACTATGAAATGATCACCACACTAAGTCTAGTTAACATCTGTCACCATACAGAGTGGCACATTATTTTCTTATGATGAGAACTTTTAAGATCTACTCTCTTAGCAACTTTCAAATATGCGATAACAATATTATTAACTGTAGTCACCCTACTATACATTGTGTGCTTGAGACTTACTTGTTTTATAACTGGAAGTTTGTACCTCTTGACTCCCTTTACCCACTTGGCTCACTCCCACCCCCAGCCTCTGGCAGACACCAGTCTGTTCCCTGTCAATGAGCTTGGTTTTTTGTTTGTTTGTTTAATATTTTTATGTTTAATATTTGCTTAATATTTTAGTATCTAGAAAATAATATATTTTAGATTCTTCATGTAAGTGAGATCAGACAGTATTTGTCTTTCTCTGTCTGATTTATTTCACTTAGCATAACGCCCTCAAGGTGCGTTTATATTGTTGCAGATGGCAAGATTTCCTTCTTTTTGGGACGCCTGGGTGGCTCAGTCGGTTAAGCGTCTGCCTTTGGCTCAGGTCATGATCTCAGGGGCCTGGGATCGAGTCTGCTTCTCCCTCTGCCCTGCTTGTGCTTTCTCACTCTTTCTCTGTCAAATAAATAAATAAAATCTTTAAAAAACTGCTTCTCCTCTGCCTCTCTCTCTCTCTGTCCCTCTGTCTCTCATGAGTAAATAAATAAAATCTTTAAAAAACTTTTTTTCCTTCTTTTTCTATCGCTGAGCAATATTATATATTAATATACATTTGTATATATAATCTGTGTTTTAACAAGCCCTCAGGTATTTTTGTGCATGCTAAGGTTTAAGAACCTGTTTTAACAATTTATGTCTTTACTTCTGGGAAACTTTATTATTTCTTTGAAACGTCCGCAACTCTTATTATTTGGATACCGGACCTCTTGGATTGCTCCTTTAATTTTCTTATTATTTCTTTCTTACTGGCCATCTCTTTTTTTCTATTTTCTGGGAGATTTCGTCAATGTTATATTCCAATCCATTTACTAAGTATGTTGTCATGAACTTTTTCTTTTCTTTTCTTTCTTCTTTTTTTTTAAAGATTTTATTTATTTATTTGTCAGAGAGAGCGCGTGAGAGCACAAGCAGGGGGAGGGGCAGAGGCCGAGGCCGAAGGAGAAGCAGGCTTCCCCCTGAGCAGGGAGCCCGATGTGATGCGGGGCTTGATCCGAGGACCGTGGGATCATGACCTGAGCTGAAGGCAGACGCTCAACCAACTGAGCCACCCAGGTGCCCCTTCTTCTACTTCTTCTTCTTCTTTTTTTTAATTTTCAAGAGGGCTTTCATGTTCCTTGTTTTTTCTTTTCTTTTCCATTTGAATGGTTTCATGTTCTTGGTTCTCTGGATGCATGCAGTGTCATCTCTCTGAGGATATTAATTTGAAATGTTCTCTTTATATTGTTTCTGTTTCCTCCAATTTCACATTTTCTGTTGTTTTGATATGTATCACATTGTAGACTTTCCATAGAGGTCTGGTCTTCCTTGGTCGTCCATTCATATTTGAGAAGGAGGCACTGGACGCAGTTGGAAATTCTCAGTGTGGGCTCACGGTAGGGCAGTCAGGCGGCTGGCTGGACTCTTTCATTGGGGATTCCCAGTTGTCAGTATCAGTGGCACAGTCTGGTTTTTTCCAGAATTTGATCCTTTGGTCTAGTCTCCAGCTTGAAGGTTATAAGGCCACCTGCCCAGAGTCCTAGAGCTGGGTGTAGCACGGGAAGTGGGGAGCAGTGTGTGGTAAGCCGGCTGAGTAACCCAATTCAGAATGCTGACTTTCACTCCATTTTTGTTCTCGCTCCTTCTTCTCCACTGCCTCCCCCAGGAAAGTTCAGTGTCTCCAGAATCCATCTTCCTGTCTCCTGCATGAGTGGGGAAGGGGACACAATAAGTCATTTGATTGTGTTGGGTACAGCTGACTTTCCTGACTATCGAATTGCTCTTTAAATAGATCTTTGAACAGGCCCTCAGTTTTTAGACCCCTGTCTTCTAGTTTACTCGCAACTTCCAATTCCCAAGTTTCTCAGGGGTTCTGAGGGAAGAGTCAGCTTGCTTCTTCTTCTTCTTCTTCTTCTTCTTTTTTTTTTAAGATTATTTATTTATTTGAGAGAGAGAGAGGGAGAGAGTATGATTAGGGTGGGGAGGGGCAGAGAGGGAGGGAGAAGCGGACTCCCTGCTGAGCAGAGAGCCCGACAGGATACTACACAGGACACTACATGGGGCTCAGTCTTAGGACCCTGAGATCATGACCTGAGCTGAAGGCCGATGCTTCAGCTGAAGCGTTAACTAAGTTAACTGGCTGAGCCACCCGGGTGCCCCGTCAGCTTGCTTTTTATGGGTATATGCCTCTGGACGTTTTGGGCCTGACTTTCTTAGTCGTTTGCCACTTTTGCATCCACTTTCTGTTCTCATATGATGTAGTTCAAGATTTTAAATGTCTGCTAGTTTGGTTAAAGATGGAGTTTGGGTTTCTCTATTTTATTCTCCATATCATTTGGGGGGGTTGATTTTTGAGGGGAAAAAGGAGATGGAAAGAGCTTTACTCCACCATTTTGTGACCAGAAGTCCGAGCTGTCTTCTTGAGGTAGATAATAGTGGTGTCTGTGCCCAACACTCCTATTCCTGCTCCTGCTGACAAAGAGGGAGTGGGTTATCTGTAGGAGAAAGGTGAGCAGGGGGAGGAGGGGAGCTTCAGGAGCTTAGAAGAGCTGCTCTGGGAACTTGATTGGAAACCCCCCAAAGGTGACAAGGATTACTGGGCCCCAGAGAGGTCTAGTTGAGGTGAGACAGTGAGAATCAGTGGAACAAGGATGGAGGTCGTGAGCAATGGGGAGGAAAGCCCCAGCTCACAGGAAGAGCGTGAGAGGGGTGGAGGACATTCTAGAACTAGAGAAAGGGGCAGCAAAGTGGCTGGCCTTGAGGCAGGCCATTCACCATGAGGCAGAAGAAGATAAGATGAGATTGACAACCACAGTCAGATGTTGATTGTGTGCCAGGGACTGAACCAAGTTCTTCAAAGCAGGCTCGGTGGGAGCCGGCCTCCAAGAGGAGGAAGGAAAGGAGTTTAAGGTCCCAGCAGGAAGGTCTGACTCTCAGATTGGGGGATGGGGCAGGTCTGAGTGAGGGTGGAGTCTTGGGTCCAGAGGAGGGAGAGCTGCTCAAGAACAGAACCATGAAGCAGCATGTATCTGGGGGGGGGGGAGAGGTGAGCTGGGGAAATGGTGGTGCACTTGCTCAAGTCTTCTGGAAGGAAGGCAATGGGTGGGAGAGGCCAGTCTTCTAGATGCATGGCCCCCTGGACATCAAGGGAGGAGAGAATTTTAAGAAGGGAGGGTGGTCACTTTAATCCACTTTACTATGAACTGAACATCCATGTGAGCGCCATCCCCAGGTCACAGCACGTTGGGGCACCAGTGTAGTCCAGGTACCTGAAATATACAGCTGCTGGCTCTGAGCTCTAACAACCTCACTTTCAGAACCCACCAGGCATTTCCCGGGGTCTTAGGGCCATTTCACCTCTTTTTCAGTGTGGCTGTTCTGTGTTGTGGACGTGCGCTGACATCACCCTCCTGGCCACGAACGCTCCTCCTGTCACTCGTCGCTGCATAGCCCCAGATCTGCATCAGCCAGAATCTTGTGGTCACAGGCCACAGGAACTGACTCTGGCTAACTGAAGCAGGAAAACAGTTGAGTGGAACGCTAGCAGGCAGCTCATGGATTCAACAGCACTCCCTACCTTCTTTTCTGTGCTGGTAAGCCTTGGTTTTGTTCCTGAATGTACACTGCCCTGTCCCCAGGGAAGGAGACCCCCTCAGCCCACAGGAGAGGAATGTTAAGTCTAGGCAACCGGTCGGGGTGCTTCTGCCTCCTTCCAGCACCTGGCTTAGGCCCAGGCATGTGGGGCAGCCCTGGCCAATGAGATGGAGGGGAAGCCCACTAGCCCAGAGGTCCTGACAGAGCCACAAGCTGTCTGGAAGTTTGAGGGGAGCCTTGACTTTCCTGAAGATGGAATTAACCCTCTCTGCCTCTGAAGAATGATATACTTGCTCATTGTTGAAGTCACGTTTAGTGGGTCTTCTGTGGTTTTCAACCAAAAGGTCCTAACTATCACATAAATACCAAGTATCTTCCCTGGGTATTTGGTGGCGTGACCGAGGGGAAAAGAAGCTGATGGCGCAAAGGGTAGTGTTAATAAGATTTCAAATAAACGAGGCCGATGCATCTTTTGGGGACACAAGAATTACCTAATAGATGAGAATGGATGGAAGACACTAGAGAGAAGGGGAACAACTCAGGGAGGAGGTCACCACTCATTAAGTAGACACTTGCTGTATACCAGGCACTGTGACAGGGGTGAGGATGAGCATAATGATGAGCAGAAGACAAGATCCCCTGCTGTCATGAAACTTTTAGCCCAGGTGTGGTGGGGGGACCATGAGCATGCAAATAACAAAATAAACAGGATAAGATAATGTAGGTAATTTTAGGGGAGTGGTTAATTTTGATAGAGGGTAGTCAAGGACGTCCCCTCTGAAGAGGAGACCCGAAGGGAGAATTAGCCAGCCATATGAATAAAGACATTAGAGATTTCCCGAATGTTTCAGGGCAGCAGTTGGCTCTGTCCTGGCTGAGAGTTCAGTGCCCATTCCAGAAAGGGAAGAGGTGGCTGTAAGTCTGGACTTGGAGGCTCATGTGGGCTGGGAGTGACAGAGTAGCTGGAGACCTGCCCTGTGGCAGGACAGGCTGGGAACTTGGGTATCACTGACTTTCTAGGGGCTGGAAAAGTTTGAATGGAGTATCTGAAGGGAGAGCCTGTGGGTTGAAGGAAAGACGCTTGGGGCCAGCAGATGACCCTCTGGTCTCTGAGGGCCCAGCTACTTGCTGTCTCCCCTTGCCCATCCAGTCTGGAGTTCCAACCTGTTCCCCTGTTTTAACATGTCTTAATTTGGGCTACTGTAACAAAATGCCATAGACTAGGTGAGAAATGTATTTCTCACAGTTCTGCAGGCTGGGAAGTCCAAGATCAAGGTGCTGGCAGCTTCAGTGTCTGGTGAGGGCCTGCTTCCTGGTTCAGAGATGGCCGTCTTCTGGCTGCGCCCTCACATGGCAGAAGGAGTGAGAGAACTCTATGGGGTCTCTTTTATAAAAGCACTAATCCCATTCAGGAGGGCTCATGACGTAATCACCTCCCAAAGGCCCAACCTCCTAAAACTGTCACACTGGGGTTTAGGATCACAACATATGAATCTCCTGGAGACGCATTCAGACTCTAAAAAACAGCTCAGCCAGATCAATAAGCATCTCCAGAGTGTTTGTGTGGCTTCTGCTGGGAGTTCGTGTGGGATGGATACAACAGAAAGTCCTGGCCTCACGGAGCTTGCTGGTCAAGGATTCAAGAATACTGCCTCTGAAACAATTAGAAAACAATTTATCAGCAGAAAATCGAGGATACCCGCTAGGGTTATAGACCATGGGTGGCCATCACAAGCCCCTCACTGCATTGGTCACAACCTCCCAACCTAGCACCAATAGCCCTCCTTTCCTGCCCACTGCTCACTTCTTCCCCTAGGGCTAAGGGTGGCCTATTTCTTACTGAGCGCCCCCCCCCCCCCCCCCCCGCCTCTTCCAGACCCCTTGAGGGGTAATTCATCCAGGTGGAGCCTGACACATGATTTCTGCTTATTCGGTGTTACCTTCCTCTACCTTCTGGGGGTGTGAAGGAGGAGGAGGGAGCAGTCAGCTGGACTAGGACTCCTTGGCCCAAAGGTGACATTGTCCTAGTGGGCTCTTCAGGGGCCTACCCAGCACAAGGTCCTAGTTTGGGGGGTCCTGTAGCTGAACAGGAAAGAAAAATGCTGATTGCTTACCATGTTGGTCTGTTGAAGAGGCAGACCACTAGCATTTTTCTTGTATTATCTCATTAAATCCACACAACAATCCTAGTAGGTGGGGACTTTATCCCACTTCACAGTTGAAGAGACTAAGTAAGGCACAGAGATAAGGTCACGTGTCCTTGTCAAACAACTAGTAACGGGTGCAGCCAAGATTCGAACCCAGGCCGTCTGACTGCAGCATCCTGGGTTGATGCCATTGTACATGCTGCCAAACTGGCTCATTCTAGGAATTTCCCTTCTTGCCACAACATTAAGAACAGAGCTAGAGGCCATTCTGCGTGAGGACCAGTTCCTCTCCTCCCCGTGTGAAGAGAGGGAGTTGGGATCCAAGAGAAGAGGCATTCCAGAAAAGGCACTGCCATGTTGGCTATTTTTCCTTAATGCTCCCCAGGCAGGGAGCTCTAACTTTTGATTTGCCAGGTGTCTCTCTGGTCTTCTAATTAACCCCAGAGTCAGCCTTCCGCCTATAGCTGCAGTCCATAATAACCCTGTGGCTCCGGGGCTGGTCCTCTGGGAGAGGCAGAGAGGACAAAGCAAGTACCAACTGGGGGTGGAGTTTCCTGTGATGATGTTCCCTTTGCCTCATCTATAAAAAGCTCCAGTATGATCTACCCCATCTATGGTGGAGTCCAGGGTGGCAGAGTGTGCGGGAGGAGGAAAAAATCAAGCTGAAACAGCTCCTCTTTGCCTCCCTGGATTCTCTTCCAAAATGCTGTCAGCACTGCCAGTTGGAAAATATTTTTCTCCCTCCCTTTGTCTTCTTTCTTATTTAAAAAAAAAAAAAGAAGAAGAAAAAAAGCCATCTGGTGTCAAATTCACTCCTGGCACATCATAAAGGGTAGCACTAAAAATGTCCCTGAAAAACTAAAAGCAAAACCACAGCAGTACACATGGGATTTAATCTCAGCATCCTAGAATTTCAGAGTGGCCAGGGGCCTCGGGGATCCAACCTTTCCTGGTTCGCAGGACGAAACGGAGGCTGGGGGGTGGGGGGTGGGGGGTTGGGCCACTCTCTCCAAAATGTTTCTTGAGCGCCTACTATGTTCACAAGGCACTCTTGGGCGTGGGAGACCGATCGTGAACAGAAAACCCAAAACTCCCTGCCGCCTTGGAGTCTTCAGTGGGTGGTTCTTGCCTGGTCCTGGGGCCTGCCTCTGCCCCGCGTTCCTCCAACGGCCCGGGGGCGGGCGCCTGGCCCGGGCCATCGCAGCCCCACGCCGCACCGGAGGCCGCCCGCGTGGGTGTCACCTCCAGGCTGCGGGCCCGCCGGGGCGTCGGGTGGCGCCGCTGTCCGGGCCGGGGCCGCTGTTTACTTCTGGGCGAAGTTCGCCGCGCGCCGCCCCGCCGCGGTCCCCCGGCGGCTGTGGCCGTAATCTCCCGCCGCTTCCTCCCGCCGCCGCTTTGGCTCCGCATTCCTCAGGGTTGAGCAACAACTTTCCCTCCGAAGGCGGCTGGGCCGGGGCCAGAGGGGCGCGGCCCCGGCCTCGGTGCCTCCCGCCGCACCCCAGGCGCGGCGCGGCGCGGCGCGGCGCGGAGCGCGGCGCGCGGCCGCCAGTGCCTGCCCCCGGGAGCCAGGGCTGCCGCGGGGTTGGGGGGGGGGGCGGGGGGGGGGGGGGGCTCAGGCCGGGGGGCAGCTCCGAGTTCCCACCGGCCGTGGCAGGATTGCCCGAGCGTCGGGTGGGTGCGTGGGCCTGACCCTGGCCTTGATCGTGGAGCTGGTGGTCCCCGCTGACCGCCCAGTCTGGCGCCCTGCACGGGGTGAGCACGCAAAGTTTGCTTCGGGTTTCTGCTCCAATTCTGAGGTTCTTTGACCACGGAGAGAGGAGGGTTTGGTGCAACTACAGAAGAGAGGTCCTAACCCAGTTCTTGGCCTGAATGTAAATATTTACAACAATCATATTAATACAGGCACTTGAAATACACTCTCATGCCTACTGAGCTTCAACGTATCTCAGGGACAAGGTTGGTTTCTTACTATTTACCTTATTTTAGGAACTAGAAAGCCTGTGACTAGTTAGATGCCGAGAAGGAGTTAGCCCAACTCAGCGCGCTCTCTGGAGCCACCTCAGGTCTGCTGACCTCTCAGGTCAAGCAAAGCCCTCTCTGCACCCTGATGTGACCAGGAACTGGCCCCACTTTCTCCACTCAGGAGTTGAGTGCTGGAGCCTGGACAGGGGAGTGGAATTAGATAATATTAAGCTCTCAACTCAATTAAATATAAGCTCCAGTGGGGATTTGGCTGTTTTGTTTACTGCAGTATCCCTGGCTCTGAAAACAATGCTTGGTAATAGTAGATGCTCAATAAATATTTGTTGAGTGAATGAATGACTATAGTAAAGGTCTTCAGATTCCTAAGAATGAAATATGTATCCTCCCTTCTTGCTCCATTACCTTCCATTGAAACTCATGCTTTCTTTCTCTTCCTGCCTCTTAAATCTTGAGCTTAGGTTTTAAAGTCTTTGTGTGTGTTTTGTTTTGTTTTAGTTCATTTGGAATAATTTTAGGCTTACAGGAAAGTTGCAAAGGTAGTAAAAAGAGTTCCCGTATACTCTTCACCCAGCTTCCCCCAAAGTTAATATCTATGTCACCATGGTACATTTGTCAAAATGAAGAAATTAACATTGGTGCAACACTGTTAAGCAGACAACATCCTTTACTTGGATTTCTTGTTTTTTTCACTCATATCCTTTTTCTGCTCCAAGACCCAATCTGGGATATCTCCTTGCATTTTGGGCTGGAAGCCTCTTAATGTGTAATCCAGATCTCATCGTGTAGGGTCTCTCTCCTTGGCAATGATGCAGGAGGCAGAGTCCCTGGCACTGGACTGAGCTTCCTGTCCTGGGGGACTAGGAAACACCTTGAGCCCTGGATTTCCTGAGAGTGATATTAAGGGATTCCTCCTGGGTCTGCTTGCTGGATCTGGGAGCATCTGGTACAAATCTAGACCCGGAGGCCTGCCCTGGGTCTCCCCTCCCTGCTCCCATACCCCTACCATGCATACACCAGAAAGGAGATGAACATGCTGCTCCAGGTGATCCGACCCGGGTCTGCATTTCTTTTGGGACCTGACTCTTCCCTGTGCCCCTCATTACCTGGTACCAATTCCTTGGTCTTCATGAGGGCCAGACCCCATTCATTTCTCCCCAGCCTCACTCTCCTTTTCCCCCATCCTGGAATCCTCTTCTAGCCTGAAATCCTCAGGGAAGCAGCTAAGGGTTCTGTTCTGGGCTATGTTACTTGCTCACAGCTCTCCATTGAGCTAGCCTTGGGATTGGAGATGAGTGAAGTGAGGGACAATCCGTTTATTCAGTTGGCAAGGGTTTATTGAGCCTGGTTGAGTCACAAAGATGAACAGTTCTGATCCTTGCTCTCTAAGGTCTTAACGGTTTGGAGGAAGAGACAGGTAATATGAACAAATAATCGGGAACATGCCTTTATAGAGATACTGTGCGTACACACTTTGGGGCAGCACTTAGGGGCAGAGCCTGGTTGCTTGGATCGTGGAGGAACATTGGGACAGCTCCTGAGGTCATGCTTGAGTTGGGTCTTGAAAGATGGATAGAAATTGGTAGGTGCTCAGGAAGGGGTCAGGGAGAGGAGAAAAGGGCACTGCTAGCAGAAGTGACAGCAGCTGTGAGGGTGCAGGTGCATCTAAGATTGTCGGGGAGCATTGTCAGGGATCTGCAGAGTAGCCCAGTGTGGCTGGAACATGGGGATGTGTAGGAGATGGCAGGAGAGAGACAAGCTGGATAAATAGAACAATCAGGTCTTAGGTTCCACAGTTGGGGGTTTAAACTTTGTTCAGTGGCTGGTGAGGGCTATGGGCTCATTTACATGTTAGAATGGTCACTTGGGTGCCTCTTTGGAGCCTGGACTCTGAGCGAGAGGTAACGGGGTCTGAAACAGGGTAGTGGAGTTGGGGCAGAGGGGACAGACACCAGAGAAACTGAGAGGCAGGGCTCAGTAACTGGATAGTGGAGTGGGGTAAGGGGTAAGAGGAGTTAGAGCGACTTCGGAGGGTGTTCTCGTTTGCAGGATGGAGAGGAGAGGGATGGGTTGGTGGTAGGGGGATGCAGAATGACCTGGAGTTGTTTTCACCACACACCCCTGAGCATCTTGAGTGGGGGTGAGGTTAGGTATTGCACACATGGCCTGGCTGGCCCCAGCCTCCTTGCCCAGAGGAGGACTGGCTCAGGGCAGGGGGCTGGTTGCTGAACAGGCCAACTGAGGGTTGTCATTCTAGGGGGATCTGACCTGGGACACCTTGGTGGTGAAGTGGGGAGGAGGGGATCTGGAAGAGATGGGGTAGGGAAAGAGAAGGGGTGAGGTTTGGCTCAGGGAACTGAGGAGAAGGTCACCAAGTCACTCCAGATGCAGAAGCCAGAGGAGGTCTCGGCACCCTCCTCTAATGTGGAGACTGACTAGGTGGGGACCAGGCAGTCCATGGAGCCCTGAGCAAACACTCAGAGCTGAGGAGGTGAGCAGGTGCGGCAGCTCCCCTGTCTTTGGGCATTTCAGGACCCGCTGGGATTCTGGAAGCGGCTGAAGTTCACCTGAAGACCACTCCCTCTGGTTGTGGGAGAGGCAGAGGCACCTGAAAACACCTGTGTGCACAGTTCAGGTAGCTGCGAAGGAACTTGTGGCCAACTGTTAGTAACTATCCCTGCAGAAACCCTGATTCTTAGCTGGACACTGTCAAGAAGTGTGAATATCTGTGATTTTTCCTATTTATAAGCTAACAAATTGGCCCACGTCATCGTTGCTGGCAGGAGCTGAGGTTGCTGGGCCAGAGATGAGGGACGTTTTATCGTTCACAGCAACAGCAGAACAGTGGCAGCCTCAGTTTCCACAGTGCTTCACAAAGAGACCCAGGTGATGCCTGAACACACGTGGGTTGCATTTCAGGAGAGGAACTCAAACATGGGGAAACCAAATCTTTTTTAATGGGCAGCATGTCCTGCCCTTTGCTCTGGAGGGAGGCTCTATATACCTTCTATGGGTGTTCACTATCCTGGAAATAATAGTCTGGAACAAAGGACAGTCAGTGTTTCACTTGTAAGACATGAAGAAATGGAATAGAACCGTGGAGAATTGTCTGCCAACAAACACATGGCCGCATACAGCAAACAATACGTTTCCCAGCCTCTCTTGCAGCTAGGTGTAACCATCTAAGTCATGGTCTGTTAAGTATAAGCTTTCGTGTGGCCGCTTCTGGGAAATTGCAGAAGATGGCTGGCAAGTGCCCTGGGTTCCTTCTTCCCATCTTCTTTTTTCCTGATGGCTGGAATGTGGACATGATGTTGGAGTGTGAGCAGCTGTGTTGGGCCAGGAGTGGCACAGAAGGACTAAGGATGGCAGAGCCGCAAAATGCAAGAGGCCCGAGTCTCTGATGGTATTGGAACTTACAAACTAGGTCTGTGCTGATTATCTTCAGACTTCTTTATGTGAGGGCAAAATAAACTCCATCTTGTTTCAGCTCTTTTTTTTCTTTATGCAGCTGAATTTGATTCTGACTGATTGAGGGCTAGCACAGACGAGGACCAATAGAGAGTTAAACCTGTCGGCAGAGAGATGGGTCAGGGGCACTTTTCCCTCTTCCCCTCACCTCCCTCAGCCTCAGCGGTGACAGGGGGAGGGGTGGGGGAGTCACCTCTGGCTTGTTCACCACCCACTGGCGATGCTCCATTCACAAGGGGGCCCAGGCCGGCCACGCGACCCAGCAGCGTCCATTTGAAGGCAGCAAGCAACAAGCTGGCTCCATTCACAAACCCTGTCCTCCTTTGAAAACCAATCACCGTGCAAAGCGTGACTGGGTGGTGGCCAGCGCTGACCCATCTGTCACGCCCTTTCAGGGAGCCAGGCGAAGGCAGCCGGCCTGGGCGAGCCAGCCCCTTTCCCTTTGTACCCCAGGGACACGCACTGTAAGGAGATCACAGTGCCTACTGAATTATTCAGAGCTGCCCTGAGTGTCAGTTTTATTATAAACATGCAGATTGCTCCGGGCGCCAAACTTGCAACCCTCCAGCACCCTCTCCCTCCATGATTTTTCACTGGCTGCTTTGTGCTTGTGATTCTAGACTCCCCAGGTCTTGCCGGCCTAATTTGCCTTTGACTGGTTCCTACCTGCCGCCAGGCATGAAGGCCTCCGTGCCCTTTACCCACCGCTTCTACGGGCCCCGTTCTCTGCTCAAAGACTGTCCTCCCCGCCACCCCAGCAGTCCTGCCTCTTCCCTGTCTCTTCCTGGCTTCACCGCCCCAGCACCCCGGCTGGTGACATCAGACTCTCCCGAGTGCCTGCCCGTTAGGGACATGTTAATAGCAGAATCCTCCACGTCTGTGGGCCTCCCGCTGGTCCCCGGTCCTCGTGAGGCTCTGTAGTCTCCCCTCCCATCCTCATGTTCTTGCCCCAGCTCAGCCTCTCCCCTTCCCCACAGCTCCCAGTTTCCCCGTTCTCTCTGGAGTTGGTCTGGAGACTACCCCCCAGCTGGTAATGAGGCGGAGATGGTAATGCACATTTAAGAGTAATGAAATGCAGTGATATTTCAGGCCTGACAGACCTATTTCTGGCAGCCTTAGAATTAAAGTGTGAGGCTTTGTACTGCAGCTGCTACTAGGAGCCTTCAGAGTTTTTCTAAAGATGTGAATAAAGCTTCCAGGGTTTCGGCTCAGATCACTGGGGCTATTTATCCTGCTGCTGCTTTCATTGTACCTTTTTATTTGAAATTTTAGAGCTTTTAGATGAAGGAAACACAGCAGCAAGTGCAAAGCATACAAAATGTCCTGGTGGGGGGGAATGTCCTGGTTTTTCTCTGCGATTGTCCCCACGGCTCTGAGGAAGAAGAGCTGCTCACAGGCCTTCCTAGCACGGGGAGGCTTGCCTCTGCGCCCCTGGGAGTGCGGTCCTCCTGGATTCTTGCCCCGTTGTAGCAGGGAGTGCAGCCTCCTGAGAAAGCTCGAGGAGGGAGTCCCTGCCACCAAGATTGGTGGGGCTGGGCGTGGGCTGGCCCTCCCTCACGGCCTCACTGCTGTGAGCTGAGTATATGCCGCGCTTCATTGGGGAATGTGGTAGGAAGAAGCAGACCCACTCTGGGCCAACAGTGACAGCTCATTTTCCCGACACCAGCCAGGGAAGCCAGCCTGCTCATTCCCATCTCTGCACCCAACCCCATCCCCCCATGGCCACCATGGCCACTGCAGCCACCCACGAGGAGAGGCCACGTAGGGCAGCGGTGCAAGGCATGGCTCTGTGCACCAACTGCAGTGCCCTTTCGGGACTTCGGTGTCCCTACCTGTAAAATGGGGACCATGATGCATCATTTACTGTCCTCGTGCTGTATGAAAGGTACCTGCCACATAGGAAGTGGCAATGTCTATTGTTAATATTGAGGGTGTCTCAGGAGTGAGGAGAGCTGGCTTTCCTTCCTGGCAGGGCCGCTCATGGGCCACGTCCCTTCTCCCTGCCACAGCAGCGGAAAAAGAAGGGGCTTTGGGATCAGACAGAACTAGGTTCCGACCCCACCTCCCTCTTTTTCTGGCTTTGTAAGCTTGGGCAGGTTGCTACACCTCCTCCATCCCAGTTTCCTCGGCCGACAAAACAGTGATCATGAGCACTCACCTCAAAGAATTGTGGTGAAGGTTCAATGAGATCATCGTTATACGGAACCCACACAGTGCCTGGTAAACGGTAGATGTTGTGTCAGTAATGGTGCCCCTGCCCCCTTCTCTTCTCCTCCCTCTGCTTCTGTTCAAAGGAGGGAAGGTTCAGATCCAGCCACCAGTTTGCTGGAAATGCAGGAGGAAGACAAGCATGTCAGATGTCAGCAGGCAGGGGGAGACCGTTGGCAAAATCCGGAATTGGGGAAATTCCAGAGGAGAGATGACCCAGAATCTTCAATGAGTAAATGACATGAGGGAGAAAGAGGGAGAACCAAATGGGACGTGTGGATCCTGATTTGAACAAACTAACTGGGAAAAAAATAAGAGACCAGTAAGGAAATTGGGCTAATGGCTGGATATTTGATAACGTTAAGTAATTTTTTTTTTTTTTAGGTGGGATAATGGTATTGTGCTTGTGGTTAAAAAGTCTTTATCTTTTAGAACACATACAGAAGAAATGACAGATTAAGCAAAAGGGCAATTGGGATTTGCTTTAAAGTCATGCAGTGGAGTGAAGCGAGGTGGGGGTGGGGGGTGGGGGGGTGGGGTGGAGGCTGGGGAGACACTGGTGAAGCAAAATTGGCCAGGCGGATAGAACAATTAAATTGGATGGTGGTAGATGGGGGGGGGGTTGTTAAAAACTATTTTCTCTCCTCCTGTATATGTTTGAATATTTTCATTAAAAAAAAAAAAAGGCAGTGATCATTTCTAGATGGGAAGTGTCTTCTCCCATCTGTTTCTTCCTCGGCATCCTCCCGGCCCCACCCTCGGCTCCTGCGCCTTATCCTTGCCTGGACTGTCTGTGACAACTGCCTCCCGATCGCCTCCCAGACTTGGGTCTCTCTCCCTTCCCATCTCCTTCCCATTTGGCCACCAAGTTGTCTTCCTAAAACACAAATCAGATCATGTTACCTCCTTGCTTAAAAACCTTTTGGTAGCTCCCTATTGCCAATCATCTATTAGAGGCTAAAATCCTTATGATATTCAGAGCCGTTCACCGAGTAAACTCAGTCTTCCTGCCCAATTCCTATTCTGGTGTAGTTGTCACCCTCTCGTGAAGCCTGGTTGTGCTCACACCGGTCAGGCACTCTCTGGCCTCCGGGACTTCTCTTATGAGGCTCTCTCTTTGGTGTGTCCTCTCCCTTGATCCTAACTTCATTTATTGAAGACTTAAGTATTTTTCAAGGCTCAGTTCAAACGTCATTCGTCTCCATGCTTTCTGGAAGTCTTTACACTGTTCACCAGATATCTCTGCATCTCTGCCTTCTGGCGTATCTTCTGGTAGAATCTCACTTCCTGGCTTTCTGAGGTTGGATGGGGCCATGTGACCAGTTTTAGCCAATGAGTTATATGGGGAAGTCATACATTTCATTCCTGGGCCAAGAATTCAATTGTTAATTCAAAACCCTTTGGAGCTCTCTTTCCCTCTGGCTCAGCAATAGCCAGATATCAGCTGCTCCATCGGGCTGGGTTCTGGCTTGAGCATGATGCCATGGACTAGAAACTTATGTCCGCCACGAGGGCTACGTAGTGTGGGATAAATAAATCTGAGGGGTTATTTGTTTTTTCAGCGTAACCTAGTCTTATCCTGACTAATAATGCTTCCCTCTCTGATTTGGAATCAACTGTGTTATTCTCTATAGTTTTGCCTTGTCGTTCTGTATGTATAACATGTCTGGATAATACAGCCCTTCGGGTAAGGAATTCTATTTTATGGTCTTTGCATTCCGGTCCCCAGCACTCGGCGTGATGCCCTGCAGAGCAAAGGCATGAACTGAATGCCCAGCAGTCCATGGTTGTGGTTGATATAGGCAGAGGATGTGCAGGGATTAAGAGTCCCATTCTTGTGAGGGGGCCCCCACACTCATTAGTCATGGAATTGTGATGGTTTGGAGCCGGAGCCGGAATCTGGTTTGGATATTCTCAATGGATGGTATGCCCAGCCCCAGGCGATGGATCAATACTAGTCTAAGGCAGTCATAATAATCCCCTGTCCTTGTGGTTACGATTAGTTTACACATGGGCACACAGGCTGGTTCCAGATGCTGAGATGTAAGGGAAAGTCTCGTTCCATTCCTGAAAAAACAGAGAGAGAGGAGAAATGCAACTGGTCTCTCCTAATTTGGATCTCCCCGAAAGCAGAGACTGAGAGAGGACTCGAATGCTATGTGGGAGGGGACCCCAGGGAGCAGGGGCGACAAAACAGGATGAAACAGGAGAGAAAGACAAGCCAATGAACGGTGCATTTATGAACTTGTTCCACTGGGGCTCAATCCTGCTGGGTACCCACCGGGGGACATCAGAATTGTCCCTCCAAATGGCAGGAGGCCAGGGCATTTAGCTAATGACTTTCATTGG